GGGGGGGGGGGGGGGGGGGAGGGGGTGTTAGACATTGATCTACCAATCTTTAGTCCCGAGCAGGCTCTCAAGCCAGTCCCTTTGCTTCGCAAAGCAAACTCAAGGTAATCCTTACCAGGCCACCTTCCGTGAAAAGCGCGAGGGCTGATGATGCAAACCACCTCTGTGGCGCTGGCACAGCTAAGCGAAGGCACGCCTGTAGTAGTAGTAGTAGTAGTAGTAGTAGTAGTAGTAGCAGGAGTAGTAGTAGTAGTAGTAGTAGCAGTAGTAGTAGTAGTAGTGAAAGTCGTAGAAGTAGTAGTAGTACTAGTAGTAGTAGTAGTCGTCGTCGTCGTAGTAGTAGTACTAGTAGTAGTAGTAGTAGTAGCAGTAGTAGTAGTACTAGTAGTAGTGGTAGTAGTAGTCGTAAAAGTAGTAGAAGTAGTACAAGCTGTAGAAGTCGTAGAAGAAAAAGTAGAAGCAGAAGTAGAAGTAGAAGGAGTAGCAGTAGTAGTAGTAGTAGTAATAGTAGTAGTAGCAGTAGCACTAGCAGTAGCGCTAGCACGAGCACTAGCAGCAGCAGTAGCAGCAGGAGGAGGAGTAGTAGTAGTAGTAGTAATAGTAGTAGTAGTGGTGGAAGTAGTATAGGGGTAGGGCACAGCGCTTCCTACTAATCGAAGGTTTCTGGCTGTCACGCTGGACGAAGGCGAAGGTGGGCTTTGTGGCAGCATCAACGCAAAGAAGATAGTAGTTGTGGTAACTGTGGTAAGACTCGTGGTGGGTTGGGGTGGTCGGAGTGATAGAGGCGCTGGTATTAGTAGGGCTAGTGGACGGCAGTGGGAACTATGAAGGCAGCGGGAAGGGGTGCGGGGGAGGGCCCAACGCCTCCCCCGCAATGCAAATCAAGTATAGACAGCGTTGGGCTGCTTCGTTCCTTGATTGGTTTAATTGGGCGTCACAGCTCAAGGTGAAGGTCTTATCATCCAACCTTGTGGGGTTGTCAGAGCTGAGCCTGCACTTTCATTCACCTTTGGCGCTGGCACGGCTAAGCGATGGTGGGCCTGCTGTTGTAGGTGGAAGTAGTACTGGTAGTAGTAGTACTCAGAGTGGTAGTAGTAGTAGTAGTAGTAGTAGTAGTAAGAGTAGTCGTAGTAGTAGTAGTAGTAGTAGTAGTAGTAGTAGTCATCGTCGTAGTAGTACTAGTACTAGTAGTAGTAGTAGTAGTAGTAGTAGTGGTGGTAGTAGTAGTAGTAGGAGGTAGCAGTAGCGGTAGCAGTAGCAGTAGTAATAGTAGTAGTAGTAGTAGTAGTAGCAACAGTAGTAGTAGTAGTAGTAGTAGTAGTAGTAGTAGTAGAAGTAGTAGTAGTAGTAGTACTAGTAGTAAAACTAGTACTAGTACTAGTAGTAGTAGTAGTAGTAGTAGTAGTACTAGTAGTACTGGTAGTAGACGTCGTAGTAGTAGCAGTAGTAGTCGTCGTCGTAGTGGTAGTAGTAGTAAGGGAGGAGGAGGAGTAGTAGTAGTAGTAATAGTAGTAGTCGTAGTAGTAGTAGTAGTAGTAGTGGTAGTAGTAGTAGTAGTAGTAGCAGTAGTAGCAGTATTAGTAGTAGTAGTAGTAGCAGTAGTAGTAGTAGTAGCAGTAGTAGTAGCAATAGTAGTAGTAGTAGTAGTAGTAGTAGTAGTAGTAATAGTAGTAGTAGCAGTAGTAGTAGTAGTAATAGTAGTAGGAAGTAGTCGTAGTAATAAGATAGTAAGAGTAGTAGTCGTCGCCGTCGTCGTAATGGATGTACTGTCAGTAGTAGAAGTAGTAGAAATAGAGGTAGGGGTAGAAGTAGAAGTAGGAGTAGGAGTAGAAGGAGAAGTAGAAGTAGTAGTAGTAGTAGCAGTAGCAGCAGCAGCAGCAGTCCATCAGGATCCATAAACAGGATCAAAAATAGAAAACCGGATCAACATAAACATCCTGACCAGGCCCCCTGTTCCTGGCAGCAGGACCAAAAGGCAGAAAAAAAATTGCAAACATACAAGGCAGGGCCAAAAAGAAAACACAGGATCAATTTTAAAAAAATGATTAGGTCCTGTGGTTTTTGGGTCCCCTGGTCCTCTGGTCCTTTGGTCCCCTGGTCCTCGGGTCCTTTAGTCCGCTGGTCCTTTGGCCCCCAGTTTCCTGGTCCTTGGGTCTCCTGGTCCGCTGGTCTCTTGCTCTCCACCTAGCCCCTTGGTCTCCTAGTCCGCTGGCCTTATGGTCCTTCAGCCTTGGTAGCTCCCAGGGTATTACCCAGTAGGGGGATACTTGATTTGCATTGCGGGGGAGCCCCCCGGATTTTTAATAGTTGCCACTACTCATAAGGCCCACCTTCGCTTAGCCGCGACAACACCGCAAAGGAGGATGAGAGGGCCCACCTTCGCTTAGCTGTGCCAGCGCCACAAAGGGGAATGAAAGTGCAGGCTCAGCTCTGACAACCCCACAAACATGGATGATAATACCTTCACATTGAGCTGTAACGCGAATCCTCCAACTCATATCAACTCATGGTGGTGGTGGTGGTGGTCGTAGTGAGCCCGTGGGCCCAACAACGAGGATGGCAACAGCCAGCTGCGACAGCACTCTACAAGAGTTTCCACCAGCTAGCCGGGCCCTCCTGGACTCCCAATCCGAGCCGCGCTTTCACCAGCATCCATATACCCCAAAGTCCACATATTATATGCATGTGTGAACACAGCAGGGCTTTCCCTTAGAACGCGTTTTTGCCTGATGGGGAGGAGGGGGGTATCGAGGTTCTGGTGGGGGAACAATTGCTCGTTGAGGCGGGTGGCTGCAAACGTCTGGCTGGCTGCGTGGTTGAAGATCGCTGACCACTGGAAGCTGGACTCCCCGCCCCCCCACTTTAATTGCCAGCACGACCAGTTTGCATCGACGGGACAATAGGTTCGTTCTGTGCCGGCGCGGTGCAACGCAGCTCCGCCTGCATGTGTCCAGGGCTGCCCGTCAATGGCCAACCGGCGCCCCACAGGTTCAAACCATTCGCGATGACCTCGATTCTGCGCTCATCGTGGCGATGGATCTATGTTGAGGT